CGTGTCTTGCAAATAAAAGCTCTGGATATCTTTGCTGAACAATAATACTAGGTACATAGGCTGTAGGTTTATTTTGTCAGCTTTGCATATCTTCACTCCCTTTCTTCTAAGAAAGGGAGTGGAGCTGTTATTGAGAGGACACACACCTCTTTCAGGTGTCCCTCCTGTGGCAAAAGCCCCACAGAACCAGGTGGCAATTCACCTCTTCTGGGAATTGGGGAGACTGTGTTATAGGCCTGCCTAATCCTTCATGGACACTCAGCTGTTTCAAGCAGCTCCTCAGCCCTTTCCTTCTATTTGATTTCCCTGGGAGCAGGGGGGTATCTGTAGTCTTTTCTCTCCTTATTCCTTCTAACGTAGACATCTCGCCTTTGGTCCGCTATGGCATGTTTTTTACTTTATATTTTATGGTCCATGAAGCAAACCAGTCACTTTTGCTTCAGATTGTAGGACATCTCAGGAAAGACAATAAATACAGAATTTTCCACTTAGGCAGGCCAATCTTCCCTCTTTTTTTACTGAGTCCTTGTATGGAAACTCATGGCATAACAAGACCCTTAAGACACAGAATTTTTCACTGACAATTTAATTTGAAACAAAACACTTGAGAGGAAAACAAGCTGTGTTTCGGTCAGAAGTCGGAAGGTGATGGAGGAAGAGAGAAAGCCCAGTGGTGATGGCAGGAAGGGGAGGTCCCTGGGGTTTCAGGTCGCGGGTAGCTCTCAGTAAAGCTAGGTGTGTGCAGCTGGGAGTCACGGCTTCAATCCCTGCTACCATCTCCCCACCCCCAGGCCTGTTCCTTTCCAAAGCTCTGAGTGCTTCCTTTTGTCAGGACTTGCTCCACTGCTGCTGATTCCAAGGCCCAGAGGCCCGTGGTGACTTAAAGACCTGGGGGAGTCCTGCAGGTTGGGATGTGCCTGTGCAGAAGAAGAGAGCGTGATATGGGCCAAAGAAAGAGAGAGATGGCCTCAGCTGTGATCCTCATGGGTTTATAGGGTTCTGTGCGCTGGCGTAAAGACCTCAACACCACAGTGGTGCTGGGAATAAAAAAGTGCTTTCCATATTCTAAACAACGGCCTTAAGAGAGGAATACCTTCATAAGCTTGGAAATGCCTTTGAACTGATAATGAAATCATTTCCCCTTCAGGTTGTCCTGCAGTTAGGTGTGGCCCAGGTACAGAGTTTTGGGCGATGGAATGTGAGTGTCCTTAGGTGCACCACTTCCCCACTTCCCAAGCTAGGTCCTCTGTGCTCCTCCCTGCTCCCTGTCTTGATAATCAAAACAGCATGGCACTGGTACCAAAACAGTGATATAGACCGATGGAACAGAACAGAGGCCTCAGAAGCAAAGCTACACCTCTACAATCACCTGATCTTTGACAAACCTGACAGAAACAAGTAATGGGGAAAGGATTCCCTGTTTAATAAATGGTGTTGGAAAAACTGGCTAGCCATGTGCAGAAAGCAGAAACTGGACCCCTTCCTGATACCTTACATTAAAATTAACTCCAGATGGATTAAAGACTTAAACATAAGACCTAATACCATAAAAACCCAGAAGAAAACCTAGGCAAAACCATTCAGGGCATAGGCATAGGCAAGGACTTCATGGCTAAAACACCAAAAGCATTGGCATCAAAAGCCAAAATAGACAAATGGGACCTAATTAAACTCCAGAGCTTCTGCACAGCAAAAGAAACAATCATTAGAATGAACCGGCTGCCAACAGAATGGGAAAAAATTTTTGCAATCTACCCATCTGACAAAGGGCTAATATCCAGAATCTACAAAGAACTAAAACAAATTTACAACAATAAAACAAACCCATTCAAAAGTGGCCGAAGGATATGAACAGACACTTTTTTTTATTGCATTTTAGGTTTTGGGGTACATGTGAAGAACATGCAGGATTGTTGCATAGGTACACCCATGGCAGTGTGGTTTGCTGCCTTCCTTCCCACCACCTATATCTGGCATTTCTCCCCATGTTATCCCTCCCCAGCTCCTCAACCCCCGCTATCCATCCCCTAGTTCCACCCCACAGACCCCAGTGTATGATGCTTCCCTCCCTGTGTCCATGTGTTCTCATTATTCAATACCCACTATGAGTGAGAACATGTGGTGTTTGATTTTCTATGAACAGACATTTTACAAAAGAAGACATCTATGAGGCCAAAAAACATTTGAAAAAATGTTCACCATCACTGGTCATTGGAAAAATGCAAATCAAAACCACATTGAGATACCATCTCACACCAGTTAGAATGACAATCATTAAAAAATCAGGAGACAACAGATGCTGGAGAGGATGTGGAGAAATAGGAACACTTTTACACTGTTGGTGGGAGTGTAAATTAGCTCAACCATTGTGGAAGATAGTGTGGCCATTCCTCAAGGACCTAGAAATAGAAATACTCTTCAACCCAGCGATCCCATTACTAGATATATACCCAAAGAATGACAAATTGTTCTATTAAAAAGACAAATGCACACGTATGTTCATTGCAGCACTGTTTACAATAGCAAAGACCTGGAACCAACCCAAATGTCCATCAATGATAGACTGGATAAAGAAAATGTGGCACATATACACCATGGAATACTATGCAGCCGTAAAAAACCATGAGTTCGTGTCCTTCATAGGCACATGGATGAATCTGGAAACTATCATTCTCAGCAAACTGACACAAGAACAGAAAACCAAATGCCACATGTTCTCACTCACAGGTGGGTGTTGAACAATGAGAACATGTGGACACAGAGAGGGGAGCATCACACACTGCAGTCAGTAGCAGGGGGTTAGGGGAGGGACAGTGGGGGGTGGGGAGGGATAACGGGAGAAATACCAGATATAAGTGATGCGGGGATGAAGGCAGCAAATCACCTTGCCATGTATGTACCTATGCAACAATCCTGCATGATTTGCCCATGTACCCAAGAACCTAAAGTACAGTAAAAAAAAAAAAAAAAATGCATGGTGCAACCTTGACAGCTGTGTGTTGGACATGGTGGCTTCTCTGGATGAGAAGAGTTTGGGTCTCCTTATAGACGAGGAGAGCTGCCTGCAGGTCAGGAGCACTCATGTCGAGTATTACATGAGTGAGGAATAAATCCGAAAACGTGCCATGGCTCAAACACAAACAATGTATTTGTTATGGTAACAAGTGGACTTGAGAGAGCTCCCCGTTTCTCAGGAACACCGTTTTTCGTTAAAAATAGCAAAAATGAATCTAAGTTAAAAAGAAAAAATAACCAATTCTGAGGCAGGCCAGATTTTATTTTATTCTTTTTATTGGTAAGTAATAATTGTACACATCTGTGGGGTGTGATAGCTTGATACACGCATACAATATGTAATGAGCAAATTGGGTTGTCGGGTGTCCATTGCCTTGTCTATCATTTCTTTGTGTTGGAAACATTCCAAATCTTCTAGTTATTTTTTGAAACATATAATAAATTATTGATAACTACAATCACCCAACTGTGCTATCAAACACTAGAATGTATTCCATCGAACTGTAGTTTTGTACTCATGAATCAACTCAGGTTCCATTCCACTCTCTACCTCCTTGAGATCGACTTTTTTAGCTCCCAGATATGAGTGAGAACAGGAAGTACTTGTCTTTCTATGTATGGCTTATTTTACTTAATCTTTAACAAAT